GGTAATTATAAGTATATATTATACTTTAATTAAGCCTTAAGTTAATTATATACTCCCTTATAAGTAAGTAAGCGTTAATTTTATACTATAATTTAAGGTATTTAAGAGGGCTTTTTTAATTATAAGCTTAATTTAAGCTTATATTATATAAGAAGGTAATAGCTTAAATGCTTTTTAACTATAAGTTTACGAGAAGCCTTACGCTATTAAGCATTAAATTTAAGCTAATTATAATTTATTAGCTAGCCCTTTTAACGCTCTTATTTAGCTTATAGGTATATAATAGTAAGTATTTAAGCTTAATACCTTACGCTTTCACCTAGCGTTTAAAGATTAAATTACCTATTATTATAATTATAAATCTCTTATTATCCTATATAAATTTACATATTAATAGCTTTAATTACCTTATAACCTATCTCTTAAAATATACGATAGTGTTAAATATAATAAGTTATTTCTTATTTAATAGTAAATAACATTATATTATCTTAGAATATTTGTTCTTAAATACTAAAAGCTATTTTATACTATTATAACTTAACTTATAGTCTTAAAGATTCTAATATACTCGCTAAAATAGTCTTAGTAACTTATACTCTTTCAATTACCTTAATATAATTTAACGTGCGTAAACTTATATATATATAATTAACCTTTATTATTATCTTTATTATTCTTTATTTACTCTTTATTTTCTTATTCTTACACCTATTAAGGCTATTTCTCTTAATTTAAGCGTTTCTTAAGTATTATATATATACCCCTAGTATTACCGTGCTTATACTTATATATAATAGTAAGTGCGTAAAACATTAATCTAAAATTATAAAGAGTACGCCTATCCTTAATTTCTTAAGCTTTATTAGTAATAATTATATTAAGTATAGCTTTAACCTATTTAAGCTTAAAGTAAGCTTTAACTATACTAAGAAAGTCGTAAATAGCATTAATTCCTTTAATCTTATTAATTCTATTATTTTAAGCGCGCACGTAAATCTTATTTTATTTTATATACTATTAGTTTTATTTAATATTTACGCGATAAGCTTTATTAAGGTATACTATATATAGCTTATAAGTTTTCTCTTATATATTAGAGTCGCGTAAGGTAAGTTAACCCTTAATCTCTTTAATTAATTACCTTAAAGTATAATCTTTTAAATGTTAATTAATAAGGTAAAGTGTAATAGATTCATAGATACTTAGTTTAATAGTATACGTAATTTACTTGTAAATATTATATGCTTTAGTCTCTTTACTTATATAAGCTTTAAGCTTACTATTATATTATAGCTATATAGCTTAAAGGGTATATAATATAGTAAAGTTATTCTCCACCTTAAGCGAGGGTTATTAATCTAGTAATAGGCTTACGTAAGCCTTCGCTAAAGTAGGTTAAAGGGGAGCAGGTAACGTATTAGCCGGGTAATTTAGTTAATTAGGGTCTATAATATTCTAAAGCTTATTAGCTTAGGCTTAACCCTTTAATACTTTATACTAATTATACTATTAGCTTAAAAGCTTTAGCTTAAGCTTAGTAGATAATTAGGTGTTTATAGAAGTAATATTAGTATCTATTAAATGCATAAATATAACGAAATAAGTATTAAAATAATACCTTAAATACTTAGTTTTCTTAAGTAAAAGTTATAAGGAATTTAAAGTTCTTCTAGGCTTATAATTATCACACTTTAAAGGGCATTAATTATAACGATAATGTATATATATAAGTCTATATTTAATTATAAAAGAGAGAATTATATACGCTCTTTTTATAAGTGCGCTTATTATTAGGGTTATTTACTTATAGTTAAGGGTTTACCCTTATCTAATTGTGCGTACGTAATTTGTACCCGTAACAAGTGACCCATTCTAACAAGTACTTGAGCAGCTGCCTGCGGGGCCAATTCCACTAAACGCGCTGGACGCGTCGCGACGTCTAGATTATTCACGGTCATCGTTTGAGAAAGCTATCCTGCGTAAGCTCACGCACCACCTTCAAATACTATTCGTCGAGACGAGAGCAAGACACTTTCACATCGTCAATACGAACTTACCTAGCCATTATGGATGCCGCATCTGCCCTATCAAGAGGGTCACTTGAGTACGTCTTTCCGCATTCACACCCGTCGGGCATCGTTTGGGGCCTGGGCATAGCGTGTTGACATTTTATTCTAGTGTCATCTTCAACGACATCGACAAAGCAGCGAAGCTCTTTCCCGTCCCTGTGATGCAATGCCTTCAAGTCAAGCCTATGGGTGCTTCGGCTACCGGAGGCGAACGTTACAGACTGGTCATGAGTGACGGCGACCACTACGTTCAGGCCATGCTTGCAACGCAGGCAAATCACGTCATTCACGATGGAAAGCTTGTACGGGGTAGTTTCGCCCGTGTCAAGCAGTATAACCCTCAGAACCTGAAGGGAAAGAAGTAAGTCGACTCCCTCGGGCATGAATCTCGTGGTGCCTAACAACAGGCCAGCATTCTCGTCATCCTCGACCTCGAGGTCATTGAATCCCTGGGCGTGCAAGAAAAGATTGGCAGCCCAACGGCTGTCGAGACAAATGAGGCCAAAGAGCAAACCATCGCTAGCAATGACTTTTACGGAAACAAGAAGGAAGAGAGCAAGCCGCAGTCGATGCCTTCAAGGCCAGCGGTTCACGACGGCGGCAACATCTATCCTATCGAGGGTCTCTCGCCCTTCCAGCACAAGTGGACAATCAAGGCGCGAGTCACAATGAAGTCAGATATCAAGACATGGCATAAGCCCACAGGAGAGGGCAAGCTCTTCAGCGTGAACCTCCTCGACGAGAGTGGTGAGATCAAGGCCACTGGTTTCAACGACCAGTGCGACGCGTTTTATGACCTCCTGCAAGAAGGCTCCGTCTACTACATTTCCAGCCCCTGTCGAGTGAATCTGGCAAAGAAGCAGTTCTCCAACCTGCCAAACGATTACGAAATCACATTCGAGCGAGATACGAGGATCGAAAAGGCCGAGGATCAGACGAATGTGCCCCAGGTCCGGTTCAACTTCTGCACAATTCAGGAGCTACAAAATGTCGAAAAGGACAACACTGTTGACGTCATTGGCGTTTTGAAGGATGTTGGCGAAGTCAGCGAAATCACCTCCAAGTCATCAGGCAAGCCCTTCCAGAAGCGAGAGCTCACTCTGGTCGATGACACGGGCTACTCTGTCCGCGTAACCGTCTGGGGCAAAACTGCCAACTCGTTTGACGCCAACCCCGAATCCGTAGTCGCCTTCAAGGGCACCAAGGTGTCCGACTTTGGCGGCAAGAGTCTCAGTCTCCTATCCTCTGGTACTATGACGGTCGACCCCGACATCCCCGACGCCCACCGCCTCAAGGGCTGGTACGACTCCTCCGGGCGGACAGACAACTTCGCCACGCACCAGAACATGGCGAGCATGGGCAATGCCGGGGGCCGCGCAAACGAGACCAAGACCATTGCCCAGGTCAAGGATGAGAATCTCGGCATGGACGCCCCCGCCTACTACTCCATCAAGGCCACAATCGTCTTTGTCAAACAAGACACCTTCTGCTACCCCGCCTGCTCCAAGGAGGGCTGCAACAAGAAGGTTGTCGAGACCGGGGATGGATGGTACTGCGAGAAATGCAGCGTGTCCCACGAGCGTCCTGATTACCGATACATCGTGTCGCTCAATGTCGCAGACCACACGAGCCACCAATGGCTCAACTGCTTCAACGAGACGGGCGAGGCCATCTTTGGCATGACGGCCAACCAGCTCATGGAGCTCAAGGAGAACGACGATGCCAAGTTCATGGCGGCGTTTGAGGCGGTGAATTGCAAAAAGTTGAATTTCAGGTGTAGAGCGAAGATGGATAACTTTGGCGACACGCAGAGGTATGTTGTGTTTTGTGTGTTTTTTTTAACAGCATCGTGGAGCATGTTTGTCTGTGGACTCGAGACTGATGTTTTTCACAAAGGGTCCGATATCAAGTAATAAGTGCATCGTTCTTGGATTTCAAGAGCGAGGGCAACAAGTTGGCCGAGTTGATCAAGCAGTATGACATGAATGCCTGAGTGTGTGTGGAACCCTAGGCGGGGAGGATTTGACGAACAGTATGAACATGTATATTCTACTAGTTGTGAAAGAAGGGGGGAGTATCAGGGGATGCGGAGGAAGCGCAATGAAAAAGATACGGGTCAAGAAGGCTGTCGGCGGATCATGGGCTATTAGTTGACGGGTAAAAAGAAAGGGGGTCTTGTAATTCCTGACGAATTCTGTTTTTTTTTTTTTTTTTTTTTAAAAAGAAGAAATGTCCATCACTTGTCGGTCCCCCCATGTGGTTGGCCCCTTTTACCCCGGTTTTTTTTTTTTTTTTTTATTTAAAAAGAAGAAATGTCCATCACTTGTCGGTCCCCTGATGTGGTTGACCATTTTAACCCGGTTTTTTTTTTTTTTTGTAACTTGTTTTCATATATTGATATTGATCTCTCTATACGTGCTCAACATGGGTATCGTTCTAATGTCGTTCAACTAGTCAATAGACAACTTTTCGTGCTTCCACGGCCGCTTGCCCTCTCCGTCGCCATAGGCAGCGGTGGCCTGGTAGTCCCCCCTAATCTTGTACTTGTAGATGGTGAGGCCCTCGAGGCCGACGGGACCACGGGCGTGAATCTTGTTGGTGCTGATGCCGACCTCGGTGCCGAAGCCGTACCGCATGCCGTCTGCCACGCGCGTCGAGGCGTTCCAGTACACGCCGGCCGAGTCGACCTGGTTCATGAAGCGCTCGGCCTCGGCAGCGTCCGCGGTGAGGATGGAGTCGGTATGGTGCGAGCCGTGGGTGTTGATGTGCTCGATGGCCTGGGCGACGCCCGACACCGTCTTGACGGCGAGGGTCAGGCCCAGGAACTCGGTGTCAAAGTCGGCGTCGGTGGCGTCGACGACGTCGGCGCCGGCGAGGGACGCCAGGGCCGCCTTGCTGGCCGGGTCGCAGCGCAGCGACACGCCCCTGGCGGCGAGGGCGGCGGCCACGCCGGGGAACGAGGTGCCGAGGGCCGCGTCCTGGCCG